TAATTCATGAAAACTTGGCTTATTAGGCAAATCGGGCCTTGAATAGTAGGCTGAGAATTGCGTTCTGGCTATTAGGTACGACATATATATATATATATATATATATATATATATATATATATATATATTATATATATATATTAGTATATTTTGGTAGCAGTCTTTCCTGTAGACATATATTATTAAATATGACCGAAAAAGTAAGATTAATAATTCTAACACGAATTTTCTCAATCTTTCGTACATTTCGTTTCACTGTTGGAGGTAAATCAAAAATCAATTCTCCAAAATTCATTTTTATTTCTAGTCTGACGCGACACGAGCGCGTTTCGTAAAACTTATTACATTTTCAAAGACTTTAGTTCACAAATACACAACTGATTAGAACTGATTGATTGATTGATAAAGATTAAGCCACCCAAAAGGTGGCACGGGCATGAATAGCCCGTAAGTGGTGGCCCTTTTGAGCCATTACCAGTATCAAGAGCTGATACTGGAGATCTGTGGAGGTGCGACTGCACCCTGCGTGACGGGAGATGTCTCCCGTTGAATAGAACTGATTGATTGATTGATTGATGAAGATTAAGCCACCCAAGAGGTGGCACGGGCATGAATAGCCCGTAAGTGGTGGCCCTTTCGAGCCATTACCAGTATCAAAAGATGATACTGGAGATCTGTGGAGGCGCAACTGCACCCTGCGTGACGGGAGATGTCTCCCGGACCAAGTGGTGACCAAATGGTGGAATAGAACTTACGCATCTCCGATTTTATATCTACATTTGAGTGAGGTGGAAGGGGTGATGTGGCATTAACACAAGACAGAACAAGATGTGGTATTAATAGGGTATTAATTTCATCAACACAAGACAGAACAAGAGTATTAATAGGGTATTAATTTCATCAATACAAGACAGAACACGAAACAATGGATATTGAATAGAAGTGTTTGTAGAAAGCCTATTGGTCCATATTTCTTGATGCTTCTATATTGGAGCGGAGTCTTGAGGTGGGTAGAATATAGTTGTGCAATAATTGGCTGTTGATTGCTGGTGTTGACTTCTTGTTGTGTAGTGCCTCGCAAACGTCAAGCCGCCTGCTATCGCTGTATCTATCGATGAACACAGAAATCATCGATAGAGACAGCGATAGCAGGCGGCTTGACGTTTGCGAGGCACTACACATCAAGAAGTCAACACCAGCAATCAACAGCCAATTATTGCACAACTATATTCTACCCACCTCAAGACTCCGCTCCAATATAGAAGCATCAAGAAATATGGACCAATAGGCTTTCTACAAACACTTCTATTCAATATCCATTGTTTCGTGTTCTGTCTTGTGTTGATGAAATTAATACCCTATTAATACTCTTGTTCTGTCTTGTGTTGATGAAATTAATACCCTATTAATACTACATCTTGTTCTGTCTTGTGTTAATGCCACATCACCCCTTCCACCTCACTCAAATGTAGATATAAAATCGGAGATGCGTAAGTTCTATTCAGTTGTGTATTTGTGAACTAAAGTCTTTGAAAATGTAATAAGTTTTACGAAACGCGCTCGTGTCGCGTCAGACTAGAAATAAAAATGAATTTTGGAGAATTGATTTTTGATTTACCTCCAACAGTGAAACGAAATGTACGAAAGATTGAGAAAATTCGTGTTAGAATTATTAATCTTACTTTTTCGGTCATATTTAATAATATATATATATATATATATATATATATATATATATATATATATATATATATATATATATATATATATATATATATATATATATATATATTAGTATATTTTGGTAGCAGTCTTTCCTGTAGACATATATTATTAAATATGACCGAAAAAATAAGATTAATATATAATCTTACTAATATATAATCTTATATATATATATATATATATATATATATATATATATATATATATATATATATATATATATATATACCAGTTATGTCCCTTATCTGTAGTAGAAGCGTGTTGAACAGTCTCGGGCCTCTGATGTTGATAGTTCTCTCTTGAACACTGTGAGGGGTCGGCCAGTTATGCCCCTTATGTGTAGTGGAAGCGTGTTGAACAGTCTCGGGCCTCTGATATTGATAGTTCTCTCTTGAACACTGTGAGGGGTCGGCCAGTTATGCCCCTTATGTGTAGTGGAAGCGTGTTGAACAGTCTCGGGCCTCTGATATTGATAGTTCTCTCTTGAACACAGAGAGGGGTCGGCCAGTTATGTCCCTAATGTGTAGTGGAAGCGTGTTGAACAGTCTCGAGCCTCTGATATTGATAGTTCTCTCTTGAACACAGAGAGGGGTCGGCCAGTTATGTCCCTTATGTGTAGTGGAAGCGTGTTGAACAGTCTCGGGCCTCTGATGTTGATAGTTCTCTCTTGAACACTGTGAGGGGTCGGCCAGTTATGCCCCTTATGTGTAGTGGAAGCGTGTTGAACAGTCTCGGGCCTCTGATATTGATAGTTCTCTCTTGAACACTGTGAGGGGTCGGCCAGTTATGCCCCTTATGTGTAGTGGAAGCGTGTTGAACAGTCTCGGGCCTCTGATGTTGATAGAGTTCTCTCTCAGAGTACCTGTTGCACCTTTGCTCTTCAACGGGGGTATTCTGCACATCCTGCCATGCCTTCTGGTCTCATGTGATGTTATTTCCGTTTGCAGGTTTGAGACAAGCCCCTCTACTATTTTCCCTGTGTAAATTATTATGTATCTCTCCCGCCTGCGTTCAAGAGAATGCAGATTTAGGCTCTTTAGTCGGTCCCAATAGTTTAGATGATTTACTGAGTGGATTCTAGCAGTAAAGGATCTCTGCACGCTCTCCAGGTCAGCAATTTCTCCAGCTTTGAAAGGGGCTGTCATTGTGCAGCAGTACTCCACTCTAGAGAGCACTAGCGTCTTGAAGAGTATCATCATCGGTATAGCATCTCTAGTGTGAAAGGTTCTTGTTCTCCAACCTGTCATTTTTCTTGCAGTTGTGACGGCTACTTTATTGTGTTCTTTAAATGTAAGGTCTTCCGACATGAGTACACCAGTAAGGTGTACACCAGTAAGGTCTTCCGACATGAGTACACCAGTAAGGTGTACACCAGTAAGGTCTTCCGACATGGTAGGGGAAGGGATGGGAAGAAGGGCAAGAGGGTGGCAGGGAAGGGAGGGAGAGAAGGGTAACAGAAGCATGGAAGGGTAAACCAGAAAACAGGGATGGAATATCCACATTAAACGAGGCGGCGGAGAAGGGGAGTGGAGGAAGGCAAAATAAACTCGGGCTGAAGGAGGTGATGTGAATTTACAGACCATAAAAACTGAGGAATTTCTCCTCCTAACATTTACTCGCCTTTAAAAAAGACATCAATACAGGAGAGAGGAGCGACGTCACACGCTCCTAAACACTTCCGCAAAATTCAATGTTTAGCTGAAATTTACACGAAAGTTTACGCTTAAATTTACAGTGTAGACCTCGCAACACTAGCAATGTGCTATACATTTTGCCCGAGTTTTGCCCGAAACGCTACGCGTACTAGTGGCTGTACAAGAATGTAACAACTCTTGTATATATCTCAAAAAAAAAAAAAAAAAAAAAAAAAAAAAAAATTACAGTGTAAGCCTCGGAACACTAGCAATGTGCTATACATTTACAGTGTAAACCTCGCAACACTAGCAGTGTGCTATACATTTACAGTGTAAACCTCGGAATACTAGCAGTGTGCTATACATTTACAGTGTAAACCTCGGAATACTAGCAGTGTGCTATACATTTACAGTGTAGACCTCGCAACACTAGCAGTGTGCTATACATTTACAGTGTAAACCTCGCAACACTAGCAGTGTGCTATACATTTACAGTGTAGACCTCGCAACACTAGCAGTGTGCTATACATTTACAGTGTAAACCTCGGAATACTAGCAGTGTGCTATACATTTACAGTGTAAACCTCGCAACATTAGCAGTGTGCTATACATTTACAGTGTAAGCCTCGGAACACTAGCAGTGTGCTATACATTTACAGTGTAAACCTCGCAACACTAGCAGTGTGCTATACATTTACAGTGTAAACCTCGCAACACTAGCAGTGTGCTATACATTTACAGTGTAAACCTCGCAACACTAGCAGTGTGCTATACATTTACAGTGTAAACATCGGAACACTAGCAGTGTGCTATACATTTACAGTGTAAACCTCGCAACACTAGCAGTGTGCTATACATTTACAGTGTAAACCTCGCAACACTAGCAGTGTGCTATACATTTACAGTGTAAACCTCGCAACACTAGCAGTGTGCTATACATTTACAGTGTAAGCCTCGGAACACTAGCAATGTGCTATACATTTACAGTGTAAACCTCGGAATACTAGCAGTGTGCTATACATTTACAGTGTAAACCTCGCAACACTATCAGTGTGCTATACATTTACAGTATAAACCTCGCAACACTAGCAGTGTGCTATACATTTACAGTGTAAACCTCGCAACACTAGCAGTGTGCTATACATTTACAGTGTAAACCTCGCAACACTAGCAGTGTGCTATACATTTACAGTGTAAACCTCGGAACACTAGCAGTGTGCTATACATTTACAGTGTAAACCTCGGAACACTAGCAGTGTGCTATACATTTACAGTGTAAACCTCGGAACATTAATGGTGTTTAATGAATGAAAATTTTACAGAGAACGCTAAGCCAATTAGATGATATTGCACATGAAAGGGATATGAGGATTGAACGCGGACCTGCAAGATGCAAAAACACAAGCAATTAACTAAATTACAGAAGGCCCATTGGCCCGTACGATCCCACCTATTTATATCCACCCAAACTCATTCACATACATACATCTAACCTACGCTTGAAACAATGAAATGACCCCCACGTCTATCACATTACCCATCTTTGTAGTAAGGGTCAAATCGTGTTTTGAATTTAAATTTCCCAAACCACTTCTGGCGTCTACATCTGCTTTATGACTGATGTGTTTTGTTTCTACTCAGGGCGTCGAGAGGTGTGTGGACCAGGTACCGAGGCGCTTCCGTGAAGTGCTGACAGAGTTGGCTGACACGACCCCTGTGCTGTCCTCTTGATTGACGGCTGCTTCTCTCTCACTCTCTGTGTCACCAGCATCTGGGATTGTTCCAATGCTGTGCCACCGACAGCTGGGATTGTTCCAATGCTGTGCCACCAGCATCTGGGATTCCTCCAATGCTGTGCCACCAGCATCTGGGATTCCTCCAATGCTGTGCCACCAGCATCTGGGATTCCTCCAATGCTGTGCCACCGACAGCTGGGATTCCTCCAATGCTGTGCCACCAGCATCTGGGATTCCTCCAATGCTGTGCCACCAGGACCCGGGATTGCTCCAATGCTGTGCCACCGACAGCTGGGATTCCTCCAATGCTGTGTCACCGACAGCTGGGATTCCTCCAATGCTGTGTCACCGACAGCCGGGATTCCTCCAATGCTGTGTCACCGACAGCGGGGATTCCTCCAATGCTGTGTCACCGACAGCTGGGATTCCTCCAATGCTGTGCCACCAACACTGGCTGCTAGCTCCACCTCTGAGGCTTCCTCTATCACCACCACCACCACCAGGGCTACCACCAACCACCACCACCGCCACCAGGGCTGCCACCACCAACCACCACCACCACCACCACCAGGGCTACCACCAACCACCACCACCACCA